ATGTGCAAACGAGTTGCAGCCGCCATTTTGGAAAACAAAATGGTGGCCACGACCAGTCCAAAGGCCTTGGGGGGGCAGACCTGGCCCGCGGGCTGTAGGTTGCCAACCCCTGCTTTAAACTAATAAATATTTCAATTTTTTACCTCAAGCAGCTTATAAACACTGGATTTAAACACATTTACATAATGACTTGTGAGTTTAAAAACAATAGAAATTGAAAGTCTTAAAAGTGCATAGCTTTGTTCAGACAATTATCCCAGTATCTTGTTTTAAAATAGTATGATGAGTACAAAATCAATAATTATGCATCTTACTAATTGAGGTATTTGTGGGCATATTCTCTCTTTTTTCTTAGGGTTCAGTTTTTGTAATATCTTCTTGCTGTTGATTTCTGAAACTGATGCATATATTAACTAGTTTTAGTGTAGATGAATATATCTGTTTTCCAGTAATAAAATAGTAGATAAGAATAGAATAGGAATAGAATCAGAGGAGAGGCTGTCACACATCTTCACATGTTCTGAAATTTCAATGCCCAGAATTCTTTACAATTTGCTGTGCTGTCTAGGACTTCTGGGACTTATAGTTCCTTCTGGTGCCACAACATCAACTTATTTTTTATTTTATTTTTTGAATGTCTTAAGTTCTCTTGTGTGGATGCTGCTAAAGCCATATATGTGCATGTGTGTGTATAGACACACACATATGCGTGTGCACACATCATTGTGCAGGCAGACAAAATCATGAATTACTACTTAATCTGGGGTATTTTCTTATCCCAATGAGAATTCCATTGTATTGCTGGGTGTAAAAATGTCCACCATAGTGTTTGTGGGTGCATTCCATGATACCCACATACAGCTAAAAAGTACATGTTCACACAAAGTGGAGAGTTTGTTTTTAGTAACAAAACTCTTTTTGTTTGGCAAAAATATAAGCAACACCAATGCAGTAGATTCACTGGGACTCTTTTTGTTCCAGCCTTTAATTGTCTGTTTAGAAATGATGCATGGTAGGAGGCTGAAATTCAAGCAAATTGTTTACAGTTCTTCAGATGACAGTGTCATAAAATTCCTAACTTACATATCTAGTTTTGTGTGAATTCTGCTACCGAACAAGTGAATATGAACGGGGCGGTGTGTGTGTGTGAAATTACCTTTCACCTGAATGAGAGTTAAAAGAATTTAAAGAGATGTTTCTTCACTCAGTTTAAGGAGCTTTGCTACATAAATAACCAATAAAGTAAATAAGGAAGGCCATTTAAACCTCCCATAACTTTGCAACTATACCTTTTGCTGATCAAAATTGTGCATCAAAGCATAATGTGAAGAAAAGTGGGCTTGGTGTGAAGGAGCCAGTTCTTTTACAGGAACTTGAAGTAGTAGCAAAGATGCTGAAGATCTCTTCAAATATAAAATTACCATTGTTCTGACTTGTCAACTACTCCAGGTTGTTTTGTCCTTATGCTAACACTACCAATTGTATTTGTCCTTTTTTTGTTCTAGTCTCTTTGCTTGCTACTTCCCTGGTGGAGTGAGCAAAAAAGAAAGTTAGTTTACAATCCCTGCATATAAATGCAACCTGTTCTTTGTAGCAGCAATATTTTTAGTTATGTGGCATGCAATTCAAAGGGAATACTTGCATATCTTAATCATCCATCCAGAGGATACATGAGACACAGCTTTCAGACTATGTGCAGGTCCTTAACAGTCTCAACTTTTGTGTAGCTGCATGCAAACAACCAGTTTTATCCTCAGGTTACACTGGTTAAAAAGAGTTTGTGCTTGGATCATCTCAGCTGATCTTGGCAAACACAATGCAAGCCCCTCTCCAACCCAAACAACAGTTTTAACCTCTGAATCAGTTTTTCCACACACCTTTCAGTCTCTATTTTCTTGGAAAGCCTGATTTTTTATGTTTTATTTCTTTGGTGTGTTCCCTCTATTCAGAACCTGTTCAGTTTGCGATGGAGTGATCTAGCCATTTGTATTATTTTCCCCATACTTTCTCCTCATTTGCTGCTTGAAGTGGCAGCTGAAGAGGTGGGTAAAGGAGTGGGCAGGGTATCTGAGTAGCCAAGTATCTGTACAGTCATGTACCTCTGTAGCTATATGTTTCAACATTTGTGTATATATCTCTCTCTCTTTCTCTCTTTCTCTCTCTCTCTCTCTCTCTCACACACACACACACACAGAGAGAGAGAGAGGCCTCCCAAAAAACACAGGAGCCCTGGTGGCTCAGTGGTTAAATGTCTGTACTGTAGCCACTCACTCATAAACCACAAGGTTGCGAGTTCAGTACTAGTCAGGGCTCAGGCTTGACTCAAGCCTGCATTCTTCTGAGGTTGCTAAAATGAGTACCCAGCTGTTGGGGGGCAATGAGCTTACAGTTGTAAACTGCTTAGACACTGCATAGCACAGTATGAAGCAGTATATAAATGAATCTGCTTCTTTTTTTTCTTTTCTTTTTTTCTTTTTTTTACATGTGTACACCAGACCCACTCTCTTCAGAAAATACTTGTGCTCTGGTAAGTCAAAGGAGATAGAAGAAAAGAGTGACATGGACAAAGAGATTCCTCCCTTTTTACTTCAAATTTAATACAGGCTTCCCCCACTTTTTAATGCCTCACTCTTTCAACACTTGCAAATTACAGACAAGTTCCATTAATTTGACAGAGGTTCCTCTCTTTCTTCAGTTCTTCTTGCCTATGAAACTCACTTGGGACTGCTCACTTGCACTTTTGTGTGTGTGTGTGTGTATACTGAAAATGTAAATAACACACTATATGTCATTCTTGAATGCATGCAAAAGCTAAATTAACACACTGTGTTAATTTATAGTAACACACTATAGTAACACAGTATAATGTGTGAATTTATAGTAACACACTATAGTAACACATTATAGTGTGTTAATTTAGGTTTGGCATATATTAAAAACGATTTTGCATGCATTTAAAAATGATATATAATCTGCTATTTATATTTTCAGTGGCCAAAATGTATTAAAGGGCAGGGATACAATGGCTTTAGCTGCCTAGTGTGTGTCCATGGGTACTAATCCAGTAGCTGTATTGGCTAGCTTTCCAGCTCCAAGGTGAAAATCCAGCCTAGGGGTAGCAGTCCCACTGTGACTTCAGACTAAGTATTCTTACCCTGCTGGATGAATCACTATTGTAGCTAATACAACATTGTGGTGTTACAGAGACTCTATAAATTGGGAAGGTATTTCAAAGTAAAGCAGAATAGATAGATGGAATAGTGGATATAGGATTAAGAGAGTGTGATATTGGACACACTAATTGTTTGACCTGCAACATAGGCTCTCTAAATCAGACCTTTGATGTGGTCTAGAAAACCAGCACCAAAGTGCTTCCCTGATGCTCTCACTTCATCTCCACAGTTTGCTTGTAGTAGGTTTTGAATTAATATTTAGAAAGCTTGCCTGCAGCAGTACTAAAATGTGCATCAGAGAACAACAGTTGTTTACTGTGTTTGAACTGAAGAATCTCACCCAGGAGATCACATTCACTTGAAGTTTACATCTCTCAATCTCAACTTGCAAAAAGGGATCGATGAATAATAATTGTCATTTCAGAGTTGCTCCTCTCCAATTATTTATTTGGTTGTATGTCTTCCCAGATGTACACTTAATTGGATCAGACACTAAAAACAAGATTGCAGGTTTTCCATGACAGCAGCAAGTTTGTAGATATATATATATATATATATTAAAAAAAACTTATCCAGATGTAAAATGATAATGGCACAGGAGATTTCCCAGTTTCTCTTCCACCAGAAGCACAGTTAAAGTTAATTTGTCTCCTTTAAAAATTGCATTATACCTAGCACAGGGGTGGGCAATCTTTCCCCTTTAAGGGCCGAGGGACTTCAGCTCCCAGAATCCCAGGATCTATTGGCCAATATGGGACTATTGGCCAACATGGCTGAGGCTTCTGGGAACTGAAGTCCCTCGGTTCTTAAAGGGGAAAGGTTGCCTACCCCTGACCTAGCACATTGTTGACAGGTCACCTGTGGAGAATTCCCAGTTTGATCATGACTCAAGATTTCTTTATCCCAAGCTGGTGTATACAACAGATATTTCCTATAAACAATCTGGAGCACATTGAAGTTTGAAAACATATCTGCATGGTGCTGAGGGAGGGTGTAAGTTCGATGGAGTGGGACAGGGGTAGGCAACCTATCCCCTATAAGGGCCGAAGGACTTCAGCTCCCAGAATCCCAGGAGCTATTGGCCAACATGGGACTATTGGCCAACATGGCTGAGGCTTCTGGGAGCTGAAGTCCCTCGGCCTTTAAAGGGGAAATGTTGCCTACCCCTGGAGTGGGAGATCACTCCAGGTCCTGACAAGTGGACCTAAAACCACCCCACATCTTTTCAGTGGACATAATTCAGTCTGAAATTTCCATTTTTCACTGACTTGGATCATATCTGTGGATCTTGTTCAGCATATGCTTATCAGATGAATTTTTGGCTTCCAGCTTGTGAAATAGTAGAAATCCCACTGTAAGAACCTTTTTAAAGGTTTTTTAAAAGTGATGCCATTAAACACCTGTTAGAGACAGCTAATTGTAGAGCAGTAGATTTAGAGCACTGTACATACATTGTGTGTGTTGTGTGCCTTCAAGTCATTTTTGACTTATGGCGAACCTAAGGCGAATCATAGGGCAAGATTTCATAGAATCATAGATTCATAGAGTTGGAAGAGACCCCAAGGGCCATCGAGTCCAACCCCCTGCCATGCAGGAGCTCCTAATCAAATCATCCCAGACAGATGGCCATCCAGACTCTGTTTAAAGACCTCCAAAGAAGGAGACTCCTCCACACCTCGAGGTTTGTTTAAAGAAGGTTTGCTATTGCCTTCCCCTGAAACTGAGAGCTTGTGACTTGCCCAAGGTCACTCAGTGGGTTTCATGACTGAGCTGGGAATCAAACCCTGATTTCCAGAGTCATAGTCCAGCACTCAAACCACTGCGCCATGCTGGCCTGCAGCCAGCCTAATCACTAATGTAAAGACCAGAGTCAGT